GATGAACTTGATTTCGAATTACTTGGGGTGCGAGGTGGGTGCGGAGATGACCGAGTCAGAACTTCGCCCTGAAAATTCTGTTGCAGTTTCACATGGTACACTGGGCGATGAACCAGGCTGGAAGGCAGGGGGGGGGCCTCTCGATTTTTCCTTTTCTGGTGTCTGTTCTTTGTCTTTGATTCTTTTCTCTTCAAAATTAGACAATCTGGAATTTACAAGGGAACGCCAGATGGCACAGTCCTCAGCAGATGGAATGGGGAATGACACAATGGCCGCGTGATCGCTTACCTGAGGATAGCTCGTCATAGAACAATCTCTTTGGGAGGCGACAGTCGTCCATGCGGCGGACGTGACCAGTCCACCGGAGCTGATATCGCAGTAGGATGGTACGGATGCTCTCCATCCCAGCACGTTGGAAGACTTCAGTGTCCGGGCCTCTGTCCTACCATTTGGCACTGAGCAGAGGCTGAGGCATCTAATACGGAAGGCATCGAGCTGTTTAGAATGCCGGCTGTAGACAGTGAAAGTTTCGCACGCATAGAGCAGGTAGGACTACTGCTTCGTACACTTTGAGCGTGGTGTTAAAGCCCAGTCCTCGTCGCCCCCTAGACTTTAACCTTCAGTCTACCGAAGGCCGCTCTGGCGATTTTGTAAGCCACTTTCGCATCGATGTTGGCGTAGCGTGACCTAGTACTACCAAGGTTGATGAACTCGTCTGCAACTACTAGTCTCTGGCTGATGACGGTAATGAGGTTCAATGTAGAGAGCGCTGTAGATGCAGGACTTCGGTCTTACTAGAAATTGTGAGGCCAAAGTCTTTGTAGAATATGTATATGTATTTTTGACACTTTGTTCCACAAAGTGCTGCTACTTGAGTGTGGGGACTGAGTAGAACTTTCTTCTTACATTTGGGACACGGAGTAAATGAAGGCAATTCTACTTTGTGTAAGTTGCATGTCGTATCCTAGCGGCAAAGATCGGAACAGTTGGGGCGAAAGAATGGAGCTCATCAACAGTGTCGTCTGTGTATCCTATATTAAGGTTATCTCCCCTGATTATAAATCCATGTAGGTCTTCTAATTACAGCAAGATGAACAGAAGATGACTTCAAGTATTTAATATACTCTTTATATATTAATGGTTGGAAACATAAAGGTAAGTTGGGAAAAAGAATGCTTTACATTAAAACCGCAGAGAAAATACATATAGCAAAAGATATATTAGTCAAAGAATCAGTGCATGAAAATTAGAAAAAACATAACCTCTCGCCGAAAATAATACAGCAGCCCAGGAAAAAAATGTTATGGCTGTATGGGCGGAGTTAGAATTGGCAGAAAGAATTTGAAAATACAATTACTATTGTTAGGTGAGGTTTTAGCACAAAGGTCAGGAGCCGTCAAGGTTCACTGCTCGATTTTTATTTTGGTTAATTCTCGCGAATCATGACTTATCGCCTGATTGAGTTCTGTTTATAAAAAAAATATTTATGAATCGTAAAGAAAAAAAAGGATTCTGATGTATCCAATTGGAAAATCTAATTATCACAATGTCGACGCATTTTAGGTTTGAATCGCGCAAAAACAGACTTGACATCAGTTGACATAATGAATCTTTTTTACTACATAAGGTTTCATTTTCCGAGCATTTCTTTTTAGAAATTAGGTACATGAAAAAATTTTCTTAATGTTTTTATTACTAAATTGTTTGCCATAAATATTCAAGCTATTGTACAAATATCCATCTTCTCTTTGACTCGCGTATATCAACATTCTGCACCAACCTGGATGGATTTTGAATGTAGTCGTCGTCCTTGACTGGTTTGATAAAGAGTCTAGTGATCCTACTATTTAACCCTTAGGTGGAGGAAAAGAAATGGATTCATACCTTTCTCAAGACTTAGTACAAAAATTACTGTAACGAATTCGACCCGAGTTCGAACGCACTTTGCCGATTTCTTATTCCGAGCGGCTAACCATTTAGATTTCCCTGCGCATATGAACATGCAAACATTATATAAATATAAACATTTCTAAATGAACGATGCAAACAAATTTCATCCCTAAAGATAAAATATTAGAACATAAATATGTTGTATATATGAACGTTTTATCTATATATCTAAAATCCTTGCTAGCTGATGGAATTAAGAATAGCTTAAATTTTAACATTTCTTGTCAGACGTAAGAAAATTCAAGATAGTAATTATTCGAAAATGTGACTATTCTTGGATCTCTCAAAAATTATTATTCTATGACTTGTGCTATTATGAAAACATTAAAAATATCTATATTCTCTTAACCTTTGCACATCGGGCATCCTTCATTGGAGAAGAGCAGATATCACTGATATTGGTGTCTCACTGGAGATGGGCGGATATCATTAATTGATGTTCTAAATTTTTTCTAACGTTACTGCACCATACATTTTTCATTCTGGTCTAAATAACAAATCGGCAATGAGGTTACGTAAATTACTGGAGTAGTTATTTGTAGATAAAACTGGAAGAATAAGCCAAAAACCGTAATATGAAAAGGAATAAAAGGCGTAAAACGGTGACCATTTTCGGCAAAGAATGCATGACTCCATTAAATATAGGATGATTCAAGAAATGTTATGCTGTTAAAATAACGTAACATTTTTATAATCTAAAAGTCAAATTAACATTTTTATAGTTTTGGTATATAACTAAAGCGAAAATAAGCGTAACTTTTTTTTTTTTTTAATGATTTTTAATCCGTTCGTGTAAACTGTTCGTGCAGTTTAATGTTTGTAATAATCCTCCAGTTACCTAACAACTCGAAAATTCTACGAAATTCAGGACTAGAAGCATCAAGAAATGGTTATGATATGAAACTTTGTTCGTATTTACTCGGTGACACTTCAGATTATTCAATCATGATTTATTTCATGTAGATCATGAAATGAAAACGGCTATTATCTGATATTTATAACCGAATTATACAACACTAAAACTCTTGCCAAGACTGATACGTTGATGTGCAGAAATGAGTACATTCCCTATAAACATCTTCATTTTTAAGAATATTTGTAATGATGGATTCAATATCGAGTACGTAATTTTAGATAATTCGTTGTTTTCATTATACGAGCGTTTAGTTCAGTAACGGCTCCACATGGGAAATAACTTTCTAATTAGAAGGAACGTATTTATTTTCACAAGTAGAACAAAGTTCCAAAAATAATTTGGTTTAGCGTCGTCATGGCGATGCGTACGCGAAGACGCCTTTGAGACTGAAAAGTGAAGACTGGGCCACTTCTGTCTATATATGGCAGCAGTACTCCATTTTCGGCTTAATTTGGATCTTGTAGAGGAGGAGTTAGGTACTTACTGGGTTGGTACAGCGAACCGACCATTTTTCCAGCATCTTTAGCGATCGATCGTTTGTACAAGTTCCACTTAAGTTCTGGGTTAAGCTCAAGTGTTAATAGGCGATCAAGGTATGTGGCCTCCTTGAGAGAACACCCGCTCATCGTGATAGGCAGAAATTAAATAAACGCTTTTTCAGTATGATAATTCAAATCCCTAAAACTAATCATTCTGAAGTAAATGTTCTCGATTGGTCTCTAATGTCGCCGGATTTAAATTCATTTCAGCACTTGTGGAATGTACTGAAAGTAAAAGAAAATGATATTCATCCAACAAAACGGCTTTGAAAGAAAATAGCTCTGGAGTGAGAAAATATTCCAATGTACATCTCATTTTTGGCGGCAGATTCAATGCTTCAGAGTTTGATCATAAATAAGTTGATATTCTCTTTTGTGTAATATTCCACAAGAAATAAAATGCTATGAATTTGGTTAGAAGAAAATTAACTTTCTATTAAAAATCTTAAAGGTATACATTTATGGGCGATATTGTATTAAAACATAAGTGTTTATTTGAATTCGCAGACCCACATACGAGACAGGTAAAAAAAAAAAAATATTAATGTGGTCAAGATTAAAATCTGTTTTGGTGGTTAATGACACATTTCAGCAGATCTTCAAACCTCAGAAAATTAATGTATTGTTCAAACGGCAGGAGTGAATTTTAAACGAGTTAAACACCGCTATGCATTATAAATGTCAAAGAAATAGAATTTAATTTAAAAAAATTCTTCAAGCGTTGTACTTTTAAAGTACACGGCACTTAAATGGCATATCTCGCAAACTTCTCTGAACACAGATATATGTAATAAATGCCGTAGCATTTAACATGTAATTAAGAATGTTAACTACAACTCGTTACTGAGATTTATATGAAGAGAATTAATCTGAAATAATATGCAATCAGTAATACATGAAGACGTTTATAGGTTAATTTTATAAATGTTACGACATGGCTTGAATTTTTTCCGTTAATTCACCCCAAAATAAAAAGTATATATATATATATATACTAAAATTCACACCAAATTAAGCCAGAGCAAGGCCCCTTTCATTGCACTCTGGTTGGGTTGACTTTTGCGATCGCCCCAAATGTGAGCGATTCGCATGCGCTATTTCTAAGTGTGGGTCTACGTCCGCGCTCACTCCGATAAACAAGCCAAAAAGATTTTATATATATTTTTTTTTTTTTTTTTTTTTTTAAATTATAAAAAAATTCCTTGGAAGTACTTCGACTATCATCCGTACTTACGAAATATGAATAATTCCATAATTTCTGGTAATTTTTCATTCTGCCGGTTGAAGTTGTTGCAAACTAAACAAATTTTGATTTATAATTTCAAGAGTGCCAAAAATTTAATAAGAAAAACAAACTTTGTTTAAAAATTTATAATTTGCTGGGGTGAATTGATATTTGCGATAAGTAAGATTACATTATTTACTGTGAATTATCAGTAAAGATCCCATGGCTTATTTAACGGTCGTAGAATGTAGAACGACCTGATCCCTTTGGCGAAGAAAAATAATCTCGTAAACTTACGCATGAACGCGGGGAGGCGTAACTTACCGACGCGGAAAGTGGAAATAACGAGCTATGTTCACATTCCGTAACTTATGGCCACATCACGTTGAAACACCAGGTCCCGTACAATCACCGAAGTTAAGCAATGTTGAGTCTAGTCAGTATCTAGATGGGTAACCGCTTGAGAATGCCAAGTGTTGTAAACTTGGATGTGTGAGTGATGTAATGGCTAAAAGGCTCGGAATTGTTAATCGGAGAGCAGTGTTCCAGTTCTGGTTGGGTTCGTTTTATTTACTTGCGCACAAATACTCTTAGGGAAAGCTATGAATCCTCTTCTCCACCCCCAGCTGTAGGTTATTTAGTAATATTTGTATCACTAAACCATTATGCCCAAAACATTTTTACAGTCTAAAAATATTTTCTGGCTTTAAATAATCTGCAAAATGGTTAAGCCGCAGAAAATTCGGTCTTGATTTGTTGCTGCATTCAATTTCGCACAATTGCTACAACTTGTTACTGAGATTTATATGAAAAGAGAATTAATCTGAAATAATATGCAATCAGTAATACATGAAGACGTTTATAGGTTAATTTTATAAATGTTATGACACGGCTTGAATCTTTTCTGTTAATACACCCCTAAATAAAAATGTATATATACTAAAATTCACACCAAATTTATATATACTAAATTTATATATACTAAAATTCACACCAAATTAACCCAAAGCAAGGCCCATTTCATTGCACTCCGGTGTTGGGCTGAAAAGGAATGAATTCATTTTCACCCTCCTAGCTAAGGATTAAATAGTTGGGACAGTCTAGGATCTATAGCCTCGACTAAACCTCAGTCTATGAGAAGGAAATCTATGAATTCAAAATCGTTAAGATAGTCTTTTCCAAGAAGTTATTGCAATTCACAGATAATGAAAGGAGCCTTTTGGAAAGTCATAATTGCCGACGTTCTGAACGTACATGACATTATGAAAATATTATGGTTTTTGTATATCATTGAGTTGATTAAACATTTTTTCTCCTTTAAATGGGGTGTAAACGAAAATTACGAGTGTAAGGCCAAGAAGTTTAAAGATCACACAAGATTTCAAAAGTTTTTTGTTTGTTTGTTTGTTTTTTATGTTATAACTGTAATTGTTCTGTCGCCATGCGGTTAAATCATTTAATACTCTGGTACCATAATTCTCTGCAGGGAAGCACGCGTGTAATTTTAGAACAAGACAGATCTGTCACCAAAAAACCACAAAGGCTTTTAAAATAACGTTTGGAAGCAGTAAAATATACTGCCACATTTTTTGCCGAATATACTTTCATGTCAACGCAGGCGTCTCCCAGAGATCGCTTCTCGGGCCAACCCTCTTTTTGCATTACATAAATGATCTGCCTAAGAGTACACATTGATCATTTGTGAATATCTATGCTGGTGGTATTACGGTATATGATCACATATCCAAAATTCTTGATGTTTATATTGGCAGCTGATTTCTCCTTCGATCTAACTCTAACATCTCAGGAAAAAAAAACTGGCTGGTTATATTTAATGCCTCGAAAAACCAAACTAGTTACATTCCATCATCACCAATCGTACCCTGAACTACCACCAGTCACAAGGAATGGATGCTCTCTCAGGGAGGCTCGTACCTTGAACGATTGTTGGGGCTTAAACTCAATCCAGATAGCAAGTGAAACTCGTACCTATGATCCATCACAAAAAATGCAAGAAAATGGTTCATTCTTTGGACGCTCCATTAAGTTTCTGACTTTTCGTGCTATCCTTTACCTTTTACAAGAGCCAGATCAGGTCTAAAATGGTTTACTGCTGCCATATTTGGGCAGGAGCTTCCAAGTCCTCACTTTCCAATCCAAAAGCGTCTCCGCGTCCTTGTAGGTGAAAAATTATTTTCCACCCTTCAAGCCCTCTCTCACAAGCCTTTCACTGCTCTATCGCTATTTCCATGGAAAGTGCTCAGACTAACTACATTCCTTAGTTCCATCAGGGCACCCAGACGTGGTGTAATAGTTAGCAAGTTTGTCTCGCTGAAACAGTTACAACTGAGAAGTGAGTTCAATCCTCACTGGGTGCCCCATACTTTCGTCCTTGTGCCACATCTAAGCTATGCAAAAAAAAAAAATCAACATTCCTTCATTCCACCAGTTCTAACTTTCACGGCTAGGATCATCCATCATGTTACGCACATTGTGGCGAACCACCCTTATTCCTTCTGTATTCCACTAGTGAGAAGTTCCGTTCGAGCACCAGCTTCTCGCGAACCGTTGCTCTGTGGACCCGACTCTCAAGAGGATGCTTTCCGGATCACAACAATCTTAACCACTTCAAGAGTTAACCATTACCTTGCCAACCTATCTGCATAAACTGTGCTCTATTCTGTAACTTACTATCTCAAGTGGATCTCGGGCCTTTTACACTGAACCTCACTGTGAAACCATCAAAAAACACCTGAAAAACAAAGTTCAGGAAGCAATTTATGTCCGAATAGTGAATTGGAGATTTTTTTTTTTTTTTAATGCAATGAATTCGTTATCCAGTCCGTGAGAATCAGTCTATTTGCTATTCTTCCATAGAAGCTTAAGTCTTAATTAAGCTGGAGAAGTGTTTTTGCTAACCAATTAATTCGACTGAAACTAAATGAATGTAACCGCCTGACATAACTGATTTAGCAGTAATATATGGCGTAAATAAATCTGTTAAGGATGAACTGTTTTTATTTATCCAGTTTCACATGGTCTCGTGATAATAAGACGTTGCCATTTAATTATGGAATGTAAATTTAAATCTTGTCGAAGGTTATTTCTTTAATTCAGACTCGTGCTGCTTCTTTTTTTTTTTTTTTTTTTTTTTTTAAGCTTGCAGCAGGTAAAACAACTTGAGCGTTACTTTTAAAAACTTAAAAGCAACTGTGATAAAAATTTAAAAAGAAAACTAAAAATAAAACATTTAAGTTTTGTATCCTCCTCCTTAAAAACGCGTAACTCATCAGCTTCTGTAGCTTATTATTACTCATCATCCTCCTTCGACCTCTCTATGATTGTTCGGAACTCCATTGACAATCACTTTCCACACTGTTTGGTCCTGTATTGCTGTCCCAGAATCTCCAATGTTCAACCCTGAGTCCCGACCTATGGTATATGGGCAAAGTCAATTTTCGTGAGAAGACACTTTCAGAATGATGTCATCGAAGTAAGGATGAGACGATTCCCCTGTCCGCTAGGTGGTAGTGGTCGGTAAACTGTAATCGTTTTTCTTATTGTTGAAGCTTGTAGTACTATTCAAAATATGATAATGAAAATAGTTACTATGTAAAGATATCAAAAGCATATCAAAAAGCTTCTACAAAAAAAAACATAAAAACGGCATGTTTTCGGAAAATGCCGACAAAAATAAAATCTAAATGCACAATTCTGCCATTGCTTCATATAATTGAAAAATCCGTTGCGAGGAAAAAATGAAGGGAAAAAATATCAGATAATGTTGTTTCAGGGTTTATATTTTATTTAGCTAAACTATCGTCAGCTATTTTTTTCTTAAGCTAAAGAATAGAATTAAATTTCTTAGACGATGGCAAAATTACAGTATAACCCGGATATGAGACCTGGACATAAGAGATTTTCTCTGGTCTCAAATTAGAGCCTGTGTATAAAATAGACCAAACCCGGATATAAGAGACTTCTTCTCCGGCACCGACAACTCTTATATCCGGGTTACACTGTATTATAGCCAAATAAAACCACACAAAAAAAACGCTAAGAAAAATTTTTTTTTTTTTAAATATTTTACTAGACGTGCAATAAATCGCTTTTTGTAAATGTACCAGGAAAACGGTAGTAAAACGAATATATCTGCTAACAATCAATTTACACACCTTTATAATTTTCAGTAAATGCGGTTTTAATTTTTTCCTCAACTTTGGAAATATTTTCCTGTATTAATTTCAATTGAAAAATTACTAACGCTGCCGTAAATTAGTTTTCATCTCTTAAAATTTTATTTACTTTTTTCATTTTAATCTGTTTATAGTTAAATATTTATAGCCAAGAGAATAAAATCTGATACCTAAAACTTAAAAGCATATATTCATACTTTTGCCATAACTAACTTTACTTGAATGGACTGACGGTAATAGGCTTATGGTTGGACAGAAATTGTCTAATAAATAAGTCTAAGTATTCAATGTGTTGAAATAGCTCAAATAACTAAAAATCAAAATAGCCGGCTTAGTTTTTAAATATGACCCACCTGAAAATAGACTGTTGTAAAAAGAAGAAAAAAAATCTTAAAGGGGCCGAGATTGTTGGATAAGCTCGCTCAGCAAATCATTTCAAAACTAATAAATAGTAGCAAATAAGATTTACATTGTTTTCTCTTCAAGCGAAATTAGAGTAAGAAAACTGGGCGGAGCTTTAAAATAGACTGCCTCCCAAAAGTCAAATGGAATCTAAAAGCTTTGCCTTTGTTTTTACTACTAAAATACTATTAACGAATGATAGTGAACTTCAGATTCCTGATTGGTTCTTTATAAGCCACGCCTCGTCATTGATCACTCATGCTGAGAAGCCCGCCTGTCGCGCACAGCATCCGTTCTGATTTTTTTATATATATTTGTGTGTGGGAGAGCTGGAGGGTGGAGCTGTTATGCTTTGCCAACAACAGAACATAAATCTTCCGCGGTCATGTCTGAATTCTTGATTCTTATTTCCCAGTCCATTAACTCACACACACACACACGTGTGAAATTCTTCTACTGGAAGAAAATGCTATATTTTAAGTGCCTGAATCCTGATTGAAGGAAGATATTTTTTTTTATTATTCTAACAGTAAGAAATCTACCAGTTTATTTTTTATTTTACTTTTTTTGCCTTAAATGTTTGCTTTTGTAATTTTTCATTCTACTCGTCCTTATTCTAAAAAGATATGAGAATTATTAACCGTTAACGTTCATAGATAGATCTTTGGATTACAAAGACATATCGTCAAGCAACAGATATGTACACTCATTGTTAAAATTAAACGTTTGTTAAAAAAAAAAAAATATTTTTTAAAAATTGTTTCCATCGAAAATATTTCCGATTTAACGTCATAGGATTCAACACCACTAAAAGGCTACCTCCGCGCGGATTATTGTCGATGAGTTCATAATGTATCGCTATGGCTTGAACATTTATTTAACCT